TTTGAAATTTGTAAGTGCTTAATTTTCAGGCTTATCAATTGTGTATTTGCAATTTTAACATGAAAGTTTTTGTATTTTGGAGAATTAACACCTAACTTATTTCTCATTTTGATGTATAAATTTTAAACCAAAGCTATTCTACAGGTGGTGGGGTTTTTTTGGAAATAGGTTTTCTCAGAGAAGTTCCTTTATGAAATGACATTTCTCAGGCCAACTCAGAAAAAAACAAGAAAAGTAACTTGAACAATCACGTATTTAGGAAGTAACACTAATATTACCATTTTATCTATAACTAATGCCTGTTTCACTTTTATTTTCATCAAATTTTCTGTGTTTCAACATTAGTCCTGAAATCTCTATGAAAGAATTTTGTAGGCTTCAGAGTGTGGCAGTGCTGGATTAAGGCATGGATACTGATGTTTGTGAGTAACTTTCATACTGTGTAGAAGAAGACCCTTCCTTCTATATCATTGTTTTAAAACCATGTTCAGAAGAACCCTACAATTCTTGAGAGGTGCCTCAGTCTTGCTTTTCAGAAGACTAGCTTTGTTTTTATTTGTTTCATGTTTTGAAGTTTGCCTAACCTTTAATTATTAGCTTGGTGATAAGAGTTCTGCTCTTGAATAAGACTTTATAGATCCATTTGTCTACTCCACCATGACTGATTTTAGAACCTTGAGTTAGTTACTTCACCTTCTGTGCTTTTGTTCTGTCTTGAGTACAATGGAGCTCATAATAGTACTTACTTCATAGGGTCTTTGTGAGTATTAAAAGTGACAGTACGTGCACATTATCTGGTAGGGCACTTAGCGTCCAGTAAGTACATGAAACTTTGAACATAAGTGGCTAAGTCTTTGTTAGAACTGGCAACTGTCTGATGCCAAAGTTAGACTCTTACCACTATTAGATCATATTGTTGAATTAAACTGAGGGAATGAAAGGAATGAAGGGGATTGAAAGATTAAGGCTAGGGGAAAAGATTTAGTGCCTCTCTTTCAGAGGTCTGCTCATAGGCTTAGATGATGAATCTTGCTTGTGGAAGGTCATAGAAGAAAGGCTGCTGAAGAAAGGAGGGTTTTTATGTGTGTCTTCCAGTGGTGAAGACTTTAGGATACTACTAAAAGGGAGTTTATTTCAGCCTATTCTAGACAAGAATTGTTTCAGGATGCCTGGAAAATAGATTGCTTTTCCTAGAAACCTATAAGAAGGAGGCTGATCAAGTGATTAGAAGGTCTTGTGATTCTTAATAATTGAGAAACACAGTAATTTTATTTAGTAATGAAACTTGGCTTAAAATAGCCTGAGTACAGATAACAAGTAGTCACCATCAAGTTATAAAGATAAAACATTTGTGAGGCCTGGAGCTATGAATTAAAGTTTTAATTTTGAGGTCTTTTTTTAGTTTATTTTGTTTGACAAATGAATTGACTATATTATAGTAAATTATTTAAAAATGCTTACATTATATTATGCAGGGAAGCCATGGCATGTTATTGCCTTGCATATTTACTTGTTTTGTGGCCCTAAAAACCGTTACTAAACTACTGTACATGCTATGTCATCCAGATTTTTAATGACACGTCACTTAACAAAAATAGCTAAAGTTGGGGATCCCTGGGTGGCGCAGCGGTTTGGCGCCTGCCTTTGGCCCAGGGCGAGATCCTGGAGACCCGGGATCGAATCCCACGTCGGGCTCCCGGTGCATGGAGCCTGCTTCTCCCTCTGCCTGTGTCTCTGCCTCTCTCTCTCTCTCTCTCTCTCTGTGTGTGTGTGACTATCATAAATAAATAAAAAAAATGTTTAAAAAAAATAAAAAAAATTAAAAAAAAACAGCTAAAGTTTTGCTAGGAAGGAAACATTTGAAAAAGCCCTTTTTAAAGGCGATCAGTTTCAGACTGTTAACTAGGTATTCTTGTGTGTTAAATATATATTTAAGATTTAATAGGAGAGAAGGAAGGAAGGCATTATAACAAAAGAGTTTCCAGGAATTCAAATTTTAGCCAATTCAGAGAATCAATGGAAAAGATCTGATGCTAAATCTAGAAACAAGAATTGGAAGAGTTGGCTGTTTCTAAAATGGGAGTTATATTATAGCCTCACAATCCATACCAGTAGAATTCTAAACCAACCACTGATTTTCCTGTTCCTAAAGAAGTTACATCAAGAATAGACTTAAACCCAAAGAGAACTAGCTTCCAAAAAGTTCAAAATTACTGAAGTGTTCTCTGAGTCAGCATGGCTTTTCATATTTGGAAATTAATTTTCTATGTAATAATTATATATCACTATTATAATAATTATATGATACATTAGTTGTATTATGATATATAATTATAGTTAATATTATATATTATATATAACTTAGGATTGATTGCTAAAAGATAGGTTTTAACACCATTAGGTCCATCTATACGATTTTTATAGGTGAGGAAGAACTGAGAAATGAAATAACTTGATTAAGATTAATTGATTAGCTATTATCAGGTTTGATATAATAATCCTGGTCTTTCAACAGACTCATACTTTAGTCAGATATTAATTTTTTCTTTTATTGGAATGGTTATTTTTGCCTTGGATTTTCTTGAATTTTTCTTTAAGACAAGGCACTTTCTGACATTATTTATTATGATGCCTGTGATTTCTCAAGAAGATGGATCAACAGTATTTCTTTTTGTTTTTGCTCATTTACCTACTGAATCAAGAGTGGTGAAGGTAAGATAGCACAAAAGCATAATAGACCCTGTGAGATCACATTAACATGCTCTAATAACATGCATATTGATGGTATGACAGATCTTAGTTACTTACACTTTTAAATATATCTGGTCCTGGAGAGATGATTTGTGAAGGACATTATGAAGTCAAACCTTTGGTAAATTGCAGAATCTGAGTTTTTATATAGCCATGTGGGTCACAGTAAGAAGTGAAACTCTTCTCTGAAATAACAAACTTCTTTTTTTATTTTTTAAAATATTATTTTATTTTATTTTTTACAAACTTCTTTTTTAAAAATCAAATTTGTTGCAGGGGTGCCTGGGTGGCACAATAGGTTAAGCCTTGACTCTTGGCTTCAGCTCATGTTGAGATCTCAGTGTTGTGAGATTGAGCCCTTCATGAGGCTCTGCAGTCAGCGCAGAGTCTGTTTGAGATTCTCTCGCCTTCTTCTTCTGCCCCTGCCTCCTGCTCACTCTCTCTCAAATAAATAAAATAAATCTTAAAAAAAAAGAAATAGAATCAAATTTGTTCCAATAAGCAAAATTCATTATGAACTTTATATGTTTCCCAAAGTTGTTTTTGTTGTAATCAGAGATTTGTTATCAAATTCTCCGGTTATAGACTTGAGTGCTGAAAGCAGTAGCTGGCTGTACTCTGTTTTCTAGTTGACCTGATGTCATATCAAAGCTGTTAGTAATTACAGTTAATCAACATTATGAATTATTCTTACAGTTATGTAATCATAGGCTTTCTTTTTATCATTATACATCTTTCTGTAACCATTTGTCTCCATCTCTTTCCCTCCCTGCATCTATTTTCCATGTTTTACTAAAGTTGGTAGAAATGCAGAGTGATTTTAATGTATGATTATTTCTAAAACATTATTAGTTAAATATGCTGTAAAGAATGCTTTCCAAAACTAAATACATTCTGTAGTAAATCTTTTACAATGCCAACTTTGCTTTTCTCCCTTTCTCTTCCTCTCTCCCTCTTCCTCTTTTTGAGGATACAAGTTGTAGAGAATTCTTGGAACAAAATGCATTCAGAGTAGAAGGACCATATGTCTCATCATGGGGAGACTGCGTAAGTAACAAAGGAAGAAGAGGACTGAGGGACAAGTTTCCATTGTGAAGGGATGAGAGACTCACGTAACTTCAGAGGTGGTAGAAAAGGAGAAAGAACACCCGATTTTATTAAGTTGCTGTGTGTTAAGACATAGACACCACTACTTCATTCCACATGCTTATATATTTTATGAGTAAAAGCTGAAATTCTCATCTACCCACAAATCTTTAAATGTGATTCTGTAAAGAGTGTGGGCTAGGAATATAGTTTCATGAGTGTAAGATTACTTGAGATTCATTTAATTAAAATAGGAATCAGAAGGTCAGAATGTTGACATTTGATTTTCTTTTGTCTTTCTTATGTCAGACTCTGTGTCAATCATCAGGTCTCTCTCAGCTAAACGTGTGTGTATGTGCACGTGTGTATACAGTCATACACCTGTCAATTTATATTAAGAAATAATGGAAGACTAAACCATAAAATTAAATTAAAAAAACCTGTCAGTTCTCCAAGTGATTAATTATTTTCACTTTCACTACAATGCATGAAGGTTGCATTTGTTCCATATTCTCTCCATTTGGTGGTGGTAATCTTTTTGATTTTAACTGTTTTAGCAAGGTGAAATGTTCATTGTGATTTTAATTTTCATTAAGTCATATGAGCACTTTTACGTGTACCTATTTGCCTTTCTTATATTTCTTTTGTGAGGTGTCTTTTCATTCTTATGCCTACTGGGAAGGTGTTATTAGTCTTTTTACTTACAATTTGTAGAATTCGCATGTATTTTGGATATATTTTCAATATCAGATATATGTGTAAGTATCCTCTTTGTTTAACAATAACAATAACCAAAGGATATTATGTATGAAAGATATATTTAATATTTTTTTTTTGAAAAAAGATTTATTTATTTATTTGAGAGAGAGAGCATGAGCGGGGTGGGAGGGTGGTGCAGAAGTAGAGGGAGAGTAAGAATCTCAAGCAAACTCCCTGCTGAGCTTGGAGCTGATGTGGGGCCTGATCTCATGACCCTGATATCATGACCTAAGCTGAAATCAAAAGTTGGATGCTTACCCAACTGAGCCATTGAGCTTCCCAATGCCTTTAATACTTCTAAACTGGCAATTTTGGAAGGAAATTAACTAGTAGTTAAAACATAGACTTCATAATTTTAAATTTAAAACAAAATTATATTCTGTTATTCTGTTTTTTGGTTTCAGGTGCAGTTAAAAACTAGCATTTCTAGTCAGTATGTAATTCGGACGCAACCAACTAATAGGTGCCTTTCTACACTGGAATGTGCAGCTGCTGCTCTTTCCATTTTGGAGAAAAATAATTACATACAAGAGGTATGTCTTTGGAAGGTTATATATTTTTTGAAAGTAAGCAGTTTGGTTAGATTTTATCTAGAAAATTTAGAAATGCGTAATTTATGAGATTTGCAACTCAGGTGTCAAATTGAATGTATCTGTGATAGAAATTTGCGTGCATTTATAACCTTCTTTCCCCCCTCTGGTGTTTTTCTGTGTTAGTTTAGCATCCAGATTGCATTATTTAAATATTCATTCTAAGCTGTGCAAACAGCATTTGTAATAAGCTAAATTGCTTTTAAGTAGTACAACATTAAATACAGGGGTTTTTTGGTTAGATTTTTCTTTAATTATTTTGTATATTTCTTTTAGCATTTTGTTTTCTTATACACAACTTTTTTCTTTTATAATTAAAAGAATATTTTACAGCAACTCTTTTTTCTATTGGTGCTTTTATTTAAGAAGTTGTACCAACCTTCTGTTTATCTTATTCACTGCTTTCTTAGTTAGAGTAGAAGAAAGATAATTTTTTGAGGAAAAAAACACCTGCAGAATATGAAAAGGTTATAACCTGCAATCATCATTTTATTTAATTTCCATAAAAGCCTGATGATTTCATATATAATTAATAATCATAAATAAAGAATAATGTTCATCGAGCTCACAAACAACACCTCCATCTTTTGGAACATGTAGGAAACTTTGCACTTAAGGCAAAAGAAAAAAAAAGAATAGCAAAATAAGATAAATTGTTAGACTTTTTTAATCACTGAAGATTTTTGATAAATATAACTCAAGAAGAAAAGTCAGAGGATAATAAGCATAGCTAAATGGGGTTTTAGGACTCTTCTTTCTGACACATACAATACACACATACACAGAGTCTCATTCCTGCCTCCTCTGTCTCTCTCTGTCTCTCTCTTTCTCTCTCTCTCATGATACACTATGGGTACTATTACAAGAGTGTGCCTTACCCATGAAGGAAATTTCAGTAATGAATAAAAGCTCAGATCAGAGAAACTGGATAAGTTACCAAGAAAAAGAACAGAAGATGTCCAGAGCAAGGAGAGTTAAAGAATGCCAGGAGCAAGTCTTGAATTGCCTTTTGCCTCTTCTCTGCCCTAAGCTATGGGAAATGTCAGAGTTGGAGGCTTTTCTTCTTTTGAAAAGAAGTAGGCTTTCATGAGTAGGCTTTTTTTGTGTGTGTATCTGTGTAAGTAAGTATTGTGTCTAGGCAATTTTTCTGTCTATTCTCTCTCCTTTGAGAAGGAAAAAAAATTCATGAGGAACCATACATCTTTTTCTAAATGACCAGAGAGTGTTTTCAACTTTCCTCCCTCCACTCTAACTTTAGCACCTGCTCCCATGTACCTAGCCATCAACATAGCACTTTATATACCCCTATACTTGTTTTTTCATTTTGTTTATATATTCTTGAAAAAAAAATAACGTACTCTTTTTAGGTATCTTAAAGATGAAGCTGAGTGCTATTATTTAAACTCGCTTTCTGTACAGTCTCTGTATTTTCCATTTTGTTGATTTAAAACTCTATGACCAGCCAACATCAGACCGAGGACCCATTAAATGTTCAGATCTTGAGGGAAATATGTAATATTCTTTGACTGTGGATTTTTTTTTAAATTTTTATTTATTTATGATAGTCACACACACACAGAGAGAGAGAGAGAGAGAGAGAGAGAGAGAGAGGCAGAGACACAGGCAGAGGGAGAAGCAGGCTCCATGCACCGGGAGCCCGACGTGGGATTCGATCCCGGGTCTCCAGGATCGCGCCCTGGGCCAAAGGCAGGCGCCAAACCGCTGCGCCACCCAGGGATCCCTTGACTGTGGATTTGAAACTTTATTTCTTCTCCTCCTTTTGGGTTCTGAAAAGAATTGTCTATGGACTTATATCTCTTATTTCTACATTGGAATTAGGTCTTTACTTCAATTCTAAATAGAAACTTTAATATTGGTAGTGGTAGTGATTTAATAATGTTGTAATGTAGTAGGGCTAGGGTTTTTGATCATTTTTGTACTGCTACTGCCAATGCTGCTACTGCTCCTCCCTTCCTAGTTTCATAAGATGTATGATTCTGGTATTAGTTAAGGTACAGTTACAGCAGGAAGCTTACCTTAAGTTCTGAGTACAATATCTAACAACAAGCAAAGTTCAAGATACAGAATGGCGACAGGATCCGTCCTGTCTTCAGCTTTTGTTACTGTCTGTGGATCAAATTGTACATGAAATCCCAAAGTGATAGCCAGGTCCTGCAGTTCTCTCTCTGTTTGCTTTGATCACCAGGAGTAGTCATATTTCAGTGGCCAGAAGTGGGAAAAGGGTGTTTGACAATCAGATGTGTGATTTGGGAGGTGCTGATAAGATTCTTGGCTGGAGCACAAGCAGAAGAAATGCATAATGGAACATCTCAAGTTGCTTATTATTACAGCTGGCAAAAAAAAGAAAATTAGCTTTCCCAGTAGGGGAATCCCAAGTTTAGCCTGTTCAGATCTGGCTACAATTAAAAATATATATATATATATCAGTTCATTCCTCTGAGAAATGCAGTTACCATCTGTTCTGAACATAGGTGTGTTCCCTTTCATGAAGAGGAAGACTGTGACCTATATTTCCCCCCCAGTAACCTTTAATTAGGGACCTCCTAATGAAATATTAAGACAATGGGGCAGAGTAGTAATTTTTCAGTTGGCTTCATTCTGCTGAATAAAGGTAAGTAGGGTTCCTCAAAATAAAGAACTTGGCATGGAATAGCCTTCTTAGTCTGTTGTTTCATCTTCGTCCTTTATTCCTGAGCAGTTTTTGAGACACTCACAGTAGCTCTGGGTGAGCTTTGAAGCAGATTTGAATGAAACCTCCATCACTTATCATCATCACTTTTTGCCCCTGAGCAAGTCATATAATCTCCTTGTGCTTGTTAATTTATCTACAATATATCAAGAACAGTTACCTCTTAGTACTGTTGTGAGAATGGAGTAGAATAATGTGTGTTAATTGCCAAACACCAGGAGCTCCAGAAGCATTAATCCCTGTGTTGTTCCTTGCCGGTCCCCCTTCCCCCCAGATTCTTGCCAATACATTGACCAAAATTCTGAACTGAAGGTTGGTAATTTACATTCACCTATTGTAATATTTACCAGGGCTTTTTCACACCTTGGAAGTCTTGAACTTGGGAATCTTTTTTATAATGGAATTTTTTCTGCTTAAGTTACCTTATGAGCCTGTATAGCTAAACAGGGTCAAGCTGTGTGTATAGTCTATGTGCCTTAACTCTGCTCAACAATAGTAGCTGGTCAGTAAGGATCCCTGGAGAACTGTCATTTTATACCTGCAGACAGAAGGATTTACAAAATACTGATTTCTCTTCAGATAAACTTTTAGAAATGAACTTGTTTTGAAAGTGGAGGATTTTCTTTGTTCCTCTGAAAAAGTCTATTTCTCCTATAGCTTCTCATTGCCTCAGATCTGTTAGTTCATACAGAAGCCTTGTTGTTTATTATCAGGTATTGTGCTAAACATATTAAATGCATCCACTTACTATAACCTAATAATGACCCTGTAAGCTTGACATCAGTTTCCTCATTTTACAGATGAATAAAATGGCAAGGAGAGGTTGTATGATTTACCTGGGAACACATAGCTAGTAATGATTATACCAGTCAGCATTGGCTAGATCTGGCTGCAGTAACTTAACACTCCAAAGTCAGAATGGCATAACACAACACACAACCGAGCTGTGTGCCTCTGTCACACTTTGTGTCCATTGGGACTGCCAGGGGGCTTGTGCTTGCCGCAGTCACTTAGGGGCCAGGCTGATGGAGGCACCATCTAGATATGCCATTCTCCTTTCATCAAGGAAGGCATAAGGGGAGTTGTGAATCATACATTCTTTTAAAGCTTCTGCCCAGGGGTAACACACAGTATTCGTGTCCATATTTCGCTAACTGCAGAAAGTTATATGGCCTTATCTAACTTCAAAGATGGAGGACTGGTGTATTTGTGAACAGCGCTACTGACTATCACAGAGATGGAGTGGGGATCTAATCCAGAACTTTCTCCAAATCTCATTCTCTTAATTCCTTCAGAAAAATGATAGAATCTTATTTTCAGAAGGTAAACATTGGAGGCCCTTAACAATAGGAATATTAGCGTTCTGTCCCTCAGGAATCTAATAAACATGGTGAATAGCGATAGAACCTTCAGTTGTCTCAGTCTGTATATAGTCCTAGATATGTTTTCTAGGGATGAGGTTTCAGGATCCAGTCAGTCTATGCTGACTCTGTAAAGAATTATATAGTCATTTCCACTTTCCCTCTTTTATTTGATGAGATGAAGACATTAAAAGAAATCATGATAGCAAATATAAGGGGTTTCTACAATAGTGGCATACAGAGCTTTTCAGAGTATTTGGCTCTTTCCCTTTGATGTGTGTCAGGGATTACATTTGGTTGCATGTAACAGAGCTGTTACTGCAGTGCTTGAATCATGTATATACTGGCTTCTTTTTCTCCTGCATGTAAGAAATGCTGAGGTGACCAGTCCAGGGCTGGGGATCTCTTTTGTCTTTCTGTCCCTCAACGGACATATATGACTTTGATCTTTACGTTTATTGCACTGTAATCACAAGATGGCTGTCCCACCTCTAACTGTCTTTTCCAGGCAAGAACAAAGTGCTGGGATCATGACCTGAGCCGAAGGCAGACACTTACCCGAGTGAGCCACCTAGGCGCCCCTTTTCCCTTTATTTCTAAAAAAGTTTGTTTACTCAAGTTTGCTATTATTATTTGAAAGATTTACAGCAGGGAAAGAATCTGACTTAAAATATATTTTAAACATGTGAGAGGGTGTTGTGTTTTTGTTTTTTTTTTAATCTTTGAATTTGAAAAACTTGAGGTCAGGCATGTGCTCTAGTTGTTTTGTGAGCTTCACCATTCTTTGTTATCATATGGGTCTGCCCAATTTATGTGGTTATGTTATATGACTGGTCCTGTAGGTATTTGGCTTTAGACAGGTACGTATGTAGTTAGAATTATTTCAAATGCACCAAAACTGAGATATTTAACTTGTATGTGGTCCCTGGACCAACGTGTGAGAGTTCATAAGCCTCTCACCCGTTGCTGCCATTGTCTGATTTTTCTCAGGCAGTAGAAGCTTGCATCAGTCTGTGACAGAAACTGAATTAAGAGGGTAGCTCAGTCCCATTGATAGTCTGATTCTTGATATTGGCTCAGGTCATGATCTCAGAGTCATGGGATAGAGTTGAGTCCCACATTGGGCTCTGCACTCAGTGGGGAGTCTACTTGTTTCCTCCTCTCCATCCCCTCCCCCACTTGCGTGCATGCACAAGGGTGGTCTCTCTCTCTCAAATAAATGAATAAAATCTTTAAAAAAAAAGAAACCGAATTAACTAATTTATATCTAAAGATCTCTTTTATTTACTCTGTTACAGATTAAATTATTATAATGTAACAGTTTTTTGAGGTATTTGAATATATTAATGTATAAAAGTATATTTGGACTTCATCATCTATATGGAAAATTAGCTACTTTTGTCTTTTTACTGGAATTCCATAGTGCTATGTAAGATATGAATTAAAAGAAATTATATATCTAGAAATCATCATATATTTAGTAGAATGTCTATTACTATTCATAGTTAAAAGCCAAGAATGGTAAAGAGAAACGTAACAGCCCCTGTTTCTGAAGAAAAAGCTAGATATACAATATCATGATTCGTTACAGACACTATTTTAGTATCTTTTTTTATCTTCACAGACTTTGCTTCGTCCTCTTCAAGCTTTATGCTCTTTCCAGCTTCAGCATGGTGCTCAAATTCGCCTCAGCAAGGAACATCTTCTGAAGAATGGATTATATCCTAAGCCAATGCCAAAGAACAAACGCAAACTCAGGAAAATGGAGCTGTTAATGAACAGTGTTAAAATTTAGTACAGTTGTTCCGTGGTGCTAGTTATGGCGTCTTTCACTGACAAGACGAGGTTAAGTTTTCCAGAAATTTAAGTCTGTGAGTTTTTGACTGTCTAAAGAATGAGAGTTGCATACTAAACTTGCCCAGAAGGAAGTAAACCAAATAGTCATAAAAAAACAACAACAAAAAAATTTCACTGACTCCATAAAAAGAAGGTTTTATAGTTTGTTTTAAAAAATGTGCCTCTAATACATTTTTTCAGATCCATTGTTTGAAATGTGATTAGTTATTGAGAGAGGTTCGAAGTTTGTCTTTATAAAATGGAAAGAAATTATTGTATCTGATGGGGGAAGTATTGTTTTCATTAATGTTTATAGATAGATATAGACCTATAATAGAGGGTACTTACATCAGTATGCAATCTTGCACATAAAGTTTATAGTTTGCAATAAGTAACAAAAATAATGATCAAGTAGTTTAGATTGAATTAATTTATTTCATAGAAAAACAGATTAAGGAGACTATATTCTTTAGGGAATAAATTTGAATTCAACTATTATGATTTAAGTGTTCTATTAATTGCCTGAATTTTTTGGTATTAAGGTATAATTGGAATATAAGATTTTATTAGTTTCAGGTGTTTACCATAATGATTCAATATTTAAATACATTGCAAAATAATCAACACATTATAAGTCTAGTTAACGTCCCTCACCATACATATTTACAAAATTTTTTTCTGGTGATGAGAACTTTTAAGATAGACTTTCTTACACTTTCCAATATGCAGTATTTGCAATTTTACAGAATTATTAACTGTAGTCACCATGCTTTATATTAATATCCCCATGACTTTATAACTGGTAGTTTCTTTTGACCCCATTCACCCACTTTGCCCACCAAACACCCTCTGGCTCTGGCAAACACCAGTCTATACTCTGTTTCTGTGAGTTTTTTTTTTTTAAAGATTCCACATATAAATGATATCAAATCATATTTATCTTTATGTGACTTATTTCACTGAGTATTAATGACCTCCAGGTCCATCCATGTTGTCACAAATGGCAAGATTTCATTCTTTTGTATGGCTGAATAATAATCCATTGTATATATGTATACACACCACATTTTCTTTTTTCATTCATTGATGGCTGTTTAGGTTATTTCTATATCTTGGCTATTGTAAATAATGCTGCAGTGAGCACAGAGGTGCATCTTTTCAAAGTAGTCTTTTTGTTTTTCTTGGCTAAATATCCAGAAGTGGAATTACCAGATCATATAATAGTTCTATTTTTAACTTTTTGAGGAATCTCCATACTGCTTTCCACTGTGGCTGCACCACTTTGCATTTCCCCCAGCAGTGCACAAGGGTTCCCCTTTCTCCACATTTTCTGTGACAGCCCTTGTTATTACTTGTCTTTTTGATACTAGCCATTCTGACAGGTGTGAGATGACAGCTCATGGTGGTTTTGATTTGTATTTCCTTGATGACAAGTGATGTTGAGCATCTTCTCACATACCTCTTGGCCATCTGTATGTCTTCTTTAGAAAAATATCTATTCGGATCCTCGGCACATTTTTTTTTCCCCATTTTTAAATCAAATTGTTTTTTTGTTTTTTGTTTTTCTTTTGCTGTTATATGAGTTCTTTATATATTTTTGTTATTAACCCCTCATCAGATATCAGAACATGCAAATATTTTCTCCCATTCCATAGGTTGCCTTTTCACTTTGTTGATTTCCTTTGATGTGCAGAAGCTTTTTCGTTTGATGTAGTCCCATCTATTTATTTTTACTTTTCTTGCTTATGCTTTTGATGCCAGATATGAAAAATCATTGCTAAGACTGATTTTTTTCTAGTTTTATGAGTTTCACATCTTACATTCAAATCTTTAATCCATTTTGAGTTAATTTTTGTGTGTGGTGTTAAATAGTGGTCTAGTTTCATTCTTCTGCATGTGGATGTAGCTTTCCCCAATATCATTTATTGAAAACTATCCTTTCCCCACTGTATATTCTTGGCTCCTTTGTCATAAATCATAATTCAATTGATCATGTATGTGTGGCTTTATTTTTGAGCTCTATTCTATAGTTCTATGGATATATTCATGTGTTTTAATGCCAATAACCATACTATTTTGATAGCTATAGCTTTGCTATGTACTTTGAAATTAGGGGGCGTGATGCTTCTCTCTGTTTCTCTTTCTCAAGATTGCTTTGGCTCTCTGGGATCTTTCGTGGCTTCTTAAAAATTGTTTATTCTCTATCTATGAAAAATGCCATTAGAATTTTGATATGGATTGCAATGAACCTGGAGATTGCTTTGAGTAGTAGCCCTAATTTTGAAAGAGGTGAATGTAATTTTGACATAGCATACATTTTTATTTGTAATACTCTGGGTAAGTTTGGATTTTTCAATACTCATCTAATAGGTTTATTGACTATGATAAACTAGTCCTTTTGAAGTTTTTACATGGAAATAACTGAGCTAGAATATAATACAACTATAATTTCAAGAACATAATTTTCTAACTAGGGTTATTTAAATCTTTTTTGGTGGCAAAAAGTAAATTGCAGGGATTAAATTTCTCCCACCTTCTTGGGAAAATATTTACTGACATTTTATATAGTATTAGAGACATGTATATAATATATATTTATATCTAACTTAAATCTACTGCAATTGTATACACATCTTGGCAAGAAGGGACTTGGTTTAGTTCTTTATTTATGACTTCTAGAGTTTTCTGTATCCAGTTTTAAGTTGTAAGGAAAAACTAAACGTATGATTTAAAAGTAAACTTGTTACATATATGTTTGTATGTGTGATAAATGAGTATATACCAGTGGTTATTTCTGACCATTTCCAAACTTTTTATTTCTATTATTGACCTGGATTAGACCCTTCTTAAAAACTTTAATGCTAGTCCTAATTGGAATGCTAATGAATATTTGAGGGAACTATGCAGAAAATATTTTAAAATACTAAACAGAAGTGAGATTTCTATCTTGTATTACTGACTTTTTTTTGGATTTAAATACAGGTTAGCTCATTTATAATCTAAAACACCTATCAAATGACTATCAAGGTATAATAGAAAAGAAATAGTAATAATAATGTATAATGGTTTCCTAACAAATGGATTAAAATAATCTTACAGTAATTTTTTCAGTTTAATTAAAATTTGCAAATTTATTTTATCCATTATTATTGCATTTTAAAAAGAAAATCACTATATAATATACCATATAAATCTTTAAATTGTACTTTAATTTTTGTTGATTTTTTAAAGAATAATTACTATCTTTATCTTTTAGCTACAGCTATATAGGGTAATTTTTGAACACTTACAAAAGCTTAAAATTAGTATTTTTGGAAATGTATAAACATTTTTAAAGAAAGTATATATAATTTTCCAAATTATTTTACTGACCTCTTAAATTATTTTATTAATTTTTTATTTTTACTGACCTCTTGACAAGGTGATTTCATTTACTCTTCTTCGGTATTCACTGCTTCTTTAGTCACTTGCTCTTATTAGGCATTTTTAGGAACTATTATCAATAGTATCAATAGTTTTAGTTATTAAAAATACTCAAAGTATGAAGATTTTAACTGAAAATGTGACCTGGCTTTTAAAGTTATTTTTTATTTTTATGATATTATTTGGCTTTTTAATTCAGATGCTTTATATTTGCTTGATTTGCCTGGGGTTGTTCCAGTTTTTGTGGATTTATTGCACACTCCAGCTACACTTTGATGTTGGGTAGATTGTTTTGTGAATTGGTATTTGAACCGTGTAACTTAGAGGATAGTATTTCTTTATATACAAGGTGATCATGGGTTTCGTCAGCCCAGTGTGTTGGGTTGAAAATCATCATGTAATGAGGTATTATTTTTAGTTTCTTGCATATGTGAGTATAAAGCGTTGAGAGCTACAGTATACGAAGCAAGTCACAGTGCTTGGCAGATTTCTCTGGGTTGGATTACAAGACTTTTTATGTGGAACATTAGAGTTAATATTAAGGAAAATTATATTTCCCTATTTTAAGACTCAAACCCAACTTTCCATGAACATTACAACGTTAGGGGTTTGTCCCAAGATTTTGGAAGGTGCAAGCTTATTAGTGAATTATATGGAGGAGCATTTCTACAGTTTGCTCATCACATATTCCCTTTTATTGTCCAAATCGCCTGTTTAAAAAAAGGGATTGTGTTGTTAGACAATCCTTTCCATTGAATGTTGATGAATTTCAGGGAAGTAAATTATTGACCCTTGGATACAATTGTCATTGGTATAGAAGTAAAATTTACTGATGCCCTAAGTAAAAAAAAAACTAGATTTGTCTTGGTGAACTCAAAAGTTTAATGTAATGAGCCTTTAACTATGTAGATTTATTCCTTAAAAATAGATATGAGTGGATGTCTTTATAGGTAAATAATACTGTGGCTTAGATGTAATGAAACTTTACATTTAATTGTATCCCATGGCATAGAATGAATCATTACCTCTTAATTTTTTCAATCTAAAATTTTGATTTACTGTATTTGCTTAGCATATTCTCCTCCCTTTTTCTTTTTCTTTTCTTTCTTTTTTCTCTTTTTTTTTGCTTTATTGAGGTATCATTGACAAAAATTGTGAGACATTTAAAATGTACAACATAATGATTTGATACACATATGCATTATTAAAGGATTCTCCCTATCAAGTTAATTAACACATCCACCACCTCACATGATAATCTTTTTTTTCTATGTGTAATAACATTTAAATTCTGTCTTGGCAAATTTCAGTTATACAGTCCAGTGTTATCAGCTGTAGCCCCCATGTTCTCCCTTCTTTCTCCTCTTACTTTCTTCTTCCCAGGCTCTCTCCTCCCTCCCTCCTGACTCTGACTGTCCTCTTTCCTTTTCTACTATGTTTATCCTGTCTACTAGTTTTTTTTATGTGTACCAATTATTTGTGCATCCCTGCATAAGTAGTTTTTTTATGAAAGATCCTGTAGTGGTCTTAACAGATTATAATTTTATATTTAAAATTTGTGCAGGAAATCAGGCAGTGTGCTATGACTTACTCTATGCTGATGACTTGCCTCCCTTACTCTACTAAAAAAATGCACACTAGAGAAAGATGTAATTGTTTTTTAGTCTTTAATAATTGTTCACTTGAATCAACAAATAAGAATTCTTTAAGAGGGACACCTGGGTGGCTCAGCAGTTGAGCACCTGCCTTTTGCTCAAGGAGTGATTCCGTGGTCCCGGGATTGAGTCCCACATCAGGCTCCCTGCATGGAGCCTGCTTCTCCCTCTGCCTCTGAGAGTCTCTGCCTCTCTCTGTGTCTCTCATGAATACATAAATAAAATTCTTAAAAAAATTTTTTTAAGGAAACTTTTTAATACAGGATTTTTAAAAAAACTGAGGTAGATATCCTTTGAAAAGAAATTATAATTTACTTTTGTTTAAAGGTATGTTAAGAAATTAAAACATTCTTATTTATTCACTTCTTTTAGTTGAGGTATAATTTAAATATAACATTAATTAGTTTCAGGTGTACAGCATAATAATTTGATTGATATTTGTGTACACCATGAAGTGATCACCACAATAAGCCTATTATTTGTTATCATATGAAGTTACAATATTTTTTTTCTTTAATGACAACTTTAAGATCTACTCTCAGCAACATTCAAATATGCAATATAGTATTTTTGACTATAGTCACTATGCTATACACTTACCTCTCATGACTTATTTTATAACTGGAAGTTTGTATCTCTTGAACCCTGTCACTCATTTTGCCTACTTCTCATCCTCCTCCCCTTTGGCAACTACCATTCTGTTCTGCATGTGTTTATTTTGTTTTGGGTTTTTATTTTTTATATTCCATATATAAGTGATAGCATGTGATATTTGTCTTTCTTGGTTTGGTTTATTTCATGTAGCCTATTACCTCAAGGTCCACTTATGTTATTGCAAATGACAGGGTTTTGTTCTTTTTTATGACTGAGTAGTACTCCATTGTACAAGTATACCACATCTTCTTTATCCATTGATCCATTGGTGGACTCTTGGGTTGTTTCCATATCTTGGCTATTGTAGATAATGCTGCAGTGAGCATAGGGGTGCATAAATGTTTTCAAATTAGTGTTTTTGGGATGCCTGGGTGGCTCAGTGGTTGAGTGTCTGCCTTTGGCCCAGGGCGTGATCCTGGAATCCAGGATTGAGTCCTGCATTGGGTTTCCTGTGGGAAGCCTGCTTCTCCCTCGGCCTGTGTCTCTGCGTCTCTTTTTCTCTCTGTGTTTCTCATGAATGAAAAATAAAATCTTTAAAAAAAATCCCAAATTAATGTTTTTGTTTTGTGCAGGTAAATAACCAGAAGTGGAATTTCTGGATTATATGGTAGTTTTAATTTTTTTGAGGAATCTCAAAGTACATCTACTTCAGGATTCTTTTGCATGCTAATAGCATTTACTCATTTCTGTCTCCAAATATGTTATTTACAAGGTAAAAAATTTCTTATTACATTTTTATGTGTAATTTTATGGGAAACAGTTGATATGAAAAAGGCAATAACTTACAATATGGTCATCAGATTTTATAAATATATTTGCCTATCATTTTGGCTTTATTAAATAGTTATACTTGTAGAGTTGCTTCTTAATAAAATCAGTGAAGAAATATTTATTTATTTATTTGTTTAAGATTTTATTTATTCATTCATGAAAGACACATAGAGAGGCAGAGACACAGGCAGAGGGAGAAGCAGGCTCCACTCCACGCAAGGAACCTGATATAGGACTTGATCCTGGAACTGCAGGATCATGCCCTGGGATGAAGGCAGACGCTCAACTGCTGAGCCACCCAGGCGTCTCAAGAAATTTTTTTTTTTTTTGGAAAAAAAAATTTTTTTTTTGGAAATTTTTAAATATACATGACAGACCTTGATTTTGGATCTAAAATGAAAGTTTCCCTTTTTTTCCATTTCTGGAATAGCTAATACTATAGAAATGAAAACAGTGTTTTAACAGCATATTTTTAGTAACTCTCAGGACTCTCATAATTCAAATTCTAAGTGACAAATTCTGTGTGACAGATACTTTCACCTCTGATGTATGTAGTCTCTCAGAAAAATATTCATACAGTGAATAAGGTAAAAGTAAAGATTAGTTGAAATAAGAGTATCTTTCAGGTAAAATACATTAAAAAGTTGGCTATTACTTTAATTTGTGAAGTGTGTATTTGTTAACTTAAAATAGGAAAAGTGGATTATGTTGTCACTTTCTGATTTTTCATTTGTGCTAATTGATTTCATTACTTTGAAAAGTATTAGTACTTATTTTAGCTTAGAGTGTGTTAATGTCTTTACTGATGGGGTATAATAATAGTTTTTACTTAGAACTAGACATTTGTGATTTGTAATACCTAATATTCAGTTAATGATTAGCAGTGTTAAACTTAATTTCCATTTTAGAAGAAATAGTTAAATTACTAATGACTTAATAGTTATTTTGAATAATGGTTTTACTATTTATTGTTGATAGCAAAAGTTATTTGAAATATTTTTGAAAATATAATTGCTATGTTTTATTTTCTTGGTGATTCATTTAGTAATGATAGCATCATTACTAAAATATCATAAATATTTAACTTGAAATACATGAATTATTCCAGTGTTTAGCATCAAAGAACAGAGTCTTAGATATATTTATTTGGGGTAATATATCTCTGCCTGCATCTACTGTAATTTTTGAATAATGGACATGATGATGTTAGTAGTGGAATAGTCTTGGGCATCCATAAATGATTTTGCAATATAGATTAAAAGTGTAAGTTCTTTTATGAGTAGATAGATCTTTACTTAGTATTCCTCAGTAATCAGTTCAATAAACTATTTAGTAGATAATTTTTACTTAGCTTTTACTCTTTGTCAAGCCCTGTGTTAAGTACTAGAGTGATGTGGAAGACAGAGTCCTATGCCTGAGAGGTTGAAGTGCTTGTAGTTGGAGACAGATCATAATAAAATAATTTCAGGTATTGATAACTGCTATGGAACAGAGTCCTAGAGTAGAATATGATGAGACTTTAGTCAT